AATTTGTATAAGACCTACTGTTCTGGCGACTTTATTTGCGTGACTAAATATTTAAATAGCCTATGTCTTTGTCTATATATAATATATTAAAAATTTAGTTCATATATTTACCAAATTTTATGATAATCAGGTGACTTAATAAGGTAAGAAATAAATGAAAGAAATGAATTTTCGTAAAATATTCATTTTCATTATAAGGTAGAAGAAAGAAGAAAGAAAAATAACGTAAAAGTTCATAGTTCTTAAAATTTAAAAAGCAAACAAGTCGCTTTTGTAGGGTACACGGCTGACTTTTATAATATATTAAGAGATACAACGATGTGATTTGAGAAAGTAACATTTTATATTTATTATATTATTTATTTATTATATTCTACCTAGTATTAAAATGTGCACATACATGATCAACCGTTTATGTATATCTAATTATGTAGCTAGGCATTTTTCCCTGGGGCAGTCGGTCAATCATTGTAAACTTCATTTTTTAATGGTAGTAGCTTGACTAACCTTAATCTCTGAAGACTATGTACAAGGTAATGTTAGTGATTTGTAATTGACAAGATTTCTTGAGTGCTCGATAGTGAACAGTGTATTTCTTTCTTTATAGCAGAAATAAAATGGTAACTATTCTATATAATACTAACTATTCACGTAACTTACACAAAAATATAACACCAGCATTTTCTATAATTTTTCCGTATAAGGAAAAATATTTTTCATGTTGTGAAATTATATTACATTTATGGCTAACGCAGAGAGAAACGAACAAGATTTCATGTGGATGGCAAATCGAACAAATGTCAAGACCGCCGATGTAACGTGGCCAATTGGTGTTGCAATAAGGACCAGAAATATGCCTACTTCGTTGTCGAGTCAAGTGGAACAATAATCTCGGATAATGTTGTAAATACTCGTGAAAAGAGTTCATTTGAATAGGAAATAGATTAAGCAAGCCGAACTAATTGGGTTACAGCATTTTGTCCAGTGAAATAAAATGTCCGCTCGCTCGAATAAAAATTACTTAAGTTTTATTTCATTGGATTATTATCATCACTGAACAATTATCCTTAGAATTGTCACAATTAAATTTTCTATAGGTACATTGTAACTCGTTTTGGTTAGAAAATATTGTGAAATTAAAAATAGTAAAGAGTATTAACGTGTGAACAGCAGAATGCGCAACAAATTTGATAAAAAGCAAGAAAAACATATTTTGAACAATTAAGAAATACAAGGTCTAGTGGATATGATTCTAACGGATATACTGAATATACAATATTATCTGTGGTGTATCCGTTAGAACTTTTTAATCGCTGTAGGATTAAACCGGAATTCCACTATTAAATCAGCGTTCAAACGATAAGATGCTGCTATGTCCTGGTTGCATAGCTATATTTATGCATGGCTATACGAGCATGTAGGTCAAGCCATATAAGCGAGCAAGTTAATAATATTTTATGGTCTAATCTATAGACAATATACAAAGGTTGATTGATTGACTCCTAAGATTCGCCTTTTTTATTCATGTGTTTCCTATTTCTTGTATCTTTCTGTTTCTACTTTTTCCACTGTAATTTTTCATAAGAAACAAGACAAACTGTAAAAAATATATTTATCTGATGTATCAACAGATGAAGGATAAGTGTTAAGGTTTTATTTTAAGTACATGCTAAATTATGTGGACTATGGTTTAAATGCAATTCTCTGACAAAACAACTATGAAATAAATTTGAATAGAATTAATGTAATGTAAAATAGAAATGGTCAGCATAAACATATCTCAATCAGTTTGAATGAATAATCAAAATCACACTAAAGTACAAGCAAATAAATAACCTTCTCTTTTTGAAGTAATTTAAAAAGTTATTTGTCACTATTTGTATCTACATTAGAGTCACAGAAATTTAGCGTGTAGGACAATGAAATTTTTATCGACCTACAGTTTGGCGTATTGTTTTCAATGATGATAGACGCTTTCTAATGTGAAAGAAAGTAAATGCAATCGGGTACCTACGCGAAATTGTCAAATCAACATTCATTGTTTGTAGTGTTTTTGCAATAACAAGTCATGCTTGAAATGTAGGAGTAAAGTTATTTTTACTAGTTAAGCACGTGACCTCGTCCGCGTGGTATTAAAAAATAATTCATTACTAAAAGCATACTATATCTAACAAAGTTTTTGTAAATAAGAGTATTTTTATATGTTTTGAACGAGTAAGAATACAATATGTTAATAATGGTTTTAATTTCTACAATGTTATAAGAACCAATTACTAAGTCGTTTGGCGAGCCTAGTGTAGCAAAGTTATATTCTTCTTGCGAAAACAGATCCGTGCCCAGCTCCGGAATTTTAATTGGGTGTTAAAGAAAAAAAAATTGGTGAAGACTATCTAGATCTATTTTTTGAAGAATCCATTAAATCGAGAGGCATACTTTGTTTCATGATTCACTAAGCTCATTTCCATAAAACACTTGACAGTTTCTGAATTGGGCTAATTTATACTTATTTATTTATATAACGTTTGCTTCTGATTATTTTTATCCTAATATCAATTTCGATTCTTACAGCTTTATTATGAGTGTAAATAGAATTGTCTGTTTTTATGCTTTATGACATTTTCACGTATATGATATTATTGTCAATTAATTTGCCTGATATCTGCCTGTGATGCTGTAGTGTATATATGTGTTTAAACAGTTATAGCCATATTGCTTTGATGACTGAGTTATCGCGAAGACTTTGGAGGAGCAGTTTGAATTAAATAAAAAAATGTAAAGATGTTACTTCTCGGCCTGTGTGTTCCAGATATTTGTTTTTTGGTTTCACAAAGTATTTTAGTCTGGGACTTAAGGCAGAATATAGGTCTGTATTTTTCCTTAAACATCAATTAAAGATTTTGTTTCATAGACAATTATGTAAGCACAACAAAATTTGTATGAGATTCACACGACAGTAAACCCTATTGACTGTATAATGTGAAGGAATTATTGAAATTGGTTCAGAATTAGGGAAAATATTGTGTAACATACACATATACAAGTAAAGGTGGATTTCTGTATCTCCTTTTTTTTAAGTTCCCATTTAAAATAGAAATCTGCGATGTATAGAAATCATGAGATGACCAAAGCGTTACCAGCTTGCATTTAACTATTGCTTTTTAGATATTAATGCCGAGTATCAACTAGTTACCACATCTCTATAAATAATACCGAGTATTCTATAATTTTATCTAATATTAGTGATTACTTATAGTTTTGCTTATGTACAATTTTTTATTATTCTACGGAATATCTATTTTATCGATGGCCGGGATAAAAGTAGCATATATCTGTTTATGCCAAGTATTATTGAAGTTACGCCAAAAAATTCATGACCATTGAAGCGTTCATAGTGAAGTATGTCTTGTTTGGTACTATTTGGCGTAAATGTTTACAAATAAGGAAACTCACTTTCTACAACAATATAATGGTTAAAGTTATCAAGCAAGTGGAATTTCTGATTGCTTCTTTATTTTGAATTTTTGTCTCTAATAATACAAGTATGAGATGAATTCGAATGTGACCAAAAATAAAAGTTTGTATATTAAGTTAAATTTCAGACCAATTTTCTGGTTATAGTTGATATTAACATGTCAAATTAAATCAAAATATGGCCATAAGCTCACCTTTAGCCATGTCGTGTAGTACTTTAGGTTTCAGGGATTAGTCGTGCTGATATTTTTTATATATATAATAAATAGTAGATACATATAGTGTTATCCAATGACGAAACATACATAATTTATTGTCTCTTGTTATCGTGAGTAAAGCATAAAATAGTTACGACAGTAGTCTTTATTTCGAAAGTGACAAAGACACGGACCACGTGGTTGCACCAAGCAAGATTAAATTATAAATTGTCCAATCGACTCATTGGACACAGTGTTGTAACGAGGAATTTAATCAATCATGTTAAGGGAGAAGGATGGCAGAATGCAGATTTTTATTCTAGTAGAAAAAATGCCTATAAAAATGCATTGCAATATGCTTATAAAAAGTAAAATGTAATGTCTAAGAATTCCTTACACTTTTCTCGCGGAATACGCGTGTGTAAATTACGTGTGTAATCACGTTCATGAAAACGATGTATATTTTTAATTGAAATGTATATTGAGTTTTGTATGTACTTAAGTAATAGAAAAGTTATTGAATTCGATCAGTCTTTTATTATAAAATATACTTAAACAAATCATGGAGTTTGTCAATACATTCAGTCCGGAATGATTTTCCTAAAAATGTATACTTTGTTTCGTGTAATTTGAGTAGCTTGCAAAATAATTGCGTCCGTTAGTTACTTTGTACTAATAGCTAATGTATTGTGCGTTTTGTGTGTTGATCTAAATGTGAATAAGTTAATATCTTTTTACTGTTTTCCACACAGTCTTAATAATAGAATTCTTAACATTACACAAAGTAAGTACCTACTATGAAATAGTTCTGCTCATAATTTTTGTTGTTTTTGTCACGTTTATATACACTTTTGTTACTTTATACAGGTTGTTTCAAAATTCATCTAGTGTAAGCAATGGGGATTGCCCAAATTAATACTAATTTAATGACAAAAATGAAATTCAATCTAGTAAGCAAAATTAAGGTAATATACTTAATACATATTTAAGTTTTACAATATAAAATTATTACGTATCTATAATAGCTTCTGTCGATCCCTGTATATGTGTCATAAAAAATATTAGTAATGCCATTATTTGTAATTTAATTATATGTAGTCACTCAATGTGTATGTTCACGAGAATTTTTATCAAATAAAGCTGATATGTACAATATTATTAACGGCGTTATGATTTGTTGTTACGTACAAATTATATATTATAATATAGGTGCGATTCGTATAAGAAACGCCGTAAATAGTTTTAATTGAGGACAAGGATGACAACCTGGGGCCGCCGCGTGTACTCGTCCGACCCCCGGTAGTCACCGTAGATGCAGTTCAAAGTATTCACCTGTCGTTGTCGACCGCACCAGATGTATCCTTATTTAGACAGCTTACAGCACATTACACGAATGGCGGACTTCCGGCGGAAGAAGAAGGAAGTCCGTCGTTTCACACCACTAGCACAAGGAAATGAGTTGCGGTTACGAAAGTCGGAGGTCGCCGGCAGAGAGCGCCGTCGACGCGTGATCACTGAAAACTAACCCGCGCTCACCTGCGCTGACGCAGCGTCGCCATACCGCTGAACCACAGTGGAATGAAAGCGTGATGGAAAGGGACAAACGGTCATTTCTTCCTTTCACTCGTAAAGCGAAAATGCCACCTTTCTTGTCGATCTATCGACGATGTTCAATAAGCGAGACTTCACAGTTCTATCAATAATGCATGGTACGAAACATTTTGGTGCCTACTTTGTGTACCAATTCAGATCTAGTATACGGTGACGACACCAATCTTATTTCTTTCGACATAGACGAACATGTTATTTTGTGTATGTAAAACACGCTTTTAGAGATTTAGAATTAATTGAATGCCATTTGTTCTAAATTTAAGAATTTGAATATAGTATACTTCAATGAAATATGTACCTGATAAATAAACTATATAAAGAAAATTGAATCGTTAAAGATGTCGTTAAGCGCAAAACTCAAAAAAGTTGAACAGTTTTGGCTAATTTTTTTTAAATATTCTTTGAAGTCTTTGAATGGATCTTATGAAGAAAAAAATTGGAAAGATGATATTATTATTGATACATAAAATATATTCTGCTTAGAATACGTAAATATAATCAATTTAGAAATTTTCATATGAAAACTTGATACAAAAATGTATAAAAATCAAATTATGATTTTTTTAAAATTAATTTTAATATTCATGAAAGTAAATTCAATGATAATGCATTAATTATACCTACATACATATTCGTATATTTACGATAGTATTTACTTTTCATTTCAAATATACAGTCTTTGGAAGTCCTCTAAATCGGTGTTAAGTAACTACTTATGTATTGTGGCAATAATAAAGTTGTGATGTATTTTGCAGTATTTATAGAAAATTTACATAATGGTAATAATAAAATTACCTGTCGAAATGTTCCTAAACAATTTATGGTGTTCTTCTAAAAGAGCGTAGATATTAAGGTTTTTATAGTATCGGCAATACAGACTTGACATCTCTTATGTTGCAGGCGTTCATAGGACAAGGCAATCGTTTAGTGTCAAAGGGACTGAATACGTTTTAGTAATCTGTTTGTTTGATATTTATTAATCCTCAACTTTTATTAGCGTACTATAGTAATTAAGTGTATTCTGTCATGCGCATGGTGTTGAACTAAAAGTAGATCCTCAACAATTGCCAAATTTTCTGTATCTTTACTCGTATATTGATCTAGCGTGTGTGCGATTTTACTAACAAAACTCTGTTTAAAAGCTTTGTACTCAAGATGAAACTAAATATAGGTATCATTAGTTTAACATTTACGGCGACCGTTTCCGGTTGGTTACTAAATGTTACAAATTTGAATTAAGAAACTACTAGTATTATAATAAGGTGTGTAGAGAAGCTCAACGACGCCACTTTCATAAATCTGTCGAAAATGGCAACCCAACCAAAGTTTGGAAATTTCTGAAGTCGGTGGGGATTGGTAAGAACCAAAGTTATGGCTCCCAAAATATTGATATTAACAGCCTTAATAGGCATTTCTGCTCTTCCGCTGTTATTGATAACACCACTAAAACAAACACGATTAATTACCTTTTTTCTATTCCAATCCCTGACTATTCGCCTTTTTTCTTTACTCCAGTTGCGGACTGTGATGTTGAGAAGAGCCTGCTAGCTATTACTTCTAATGCTGTGGGGTCAGATGACATAAGTCGTACTATGATCCTTCCCATTCTTGACATTGTCCTTCCCATTATTACATTGGTTTTCAATAATTCCTTGTCCTCGTTTTCCACTTCTGTCTGGAAAAACGCACATATACTTCCTCTCCCTAAAAAGTTCAATCCAACATCTTTTTCAGACTTCCGTCCAATTTCCATTCTTCCATTTCTTTCTAAAGCTCTCGAGCGACTTGTCCATCAACAACTAAATGAATTCCTATCCAAGAATGATCTTTTTAATCCCTTCCAATCAGGTTTCCGTGCCGGTCATAGTACGACTACTGCTCTTGTTAAAATCACCGACGATATCCGTCATGGTATGGAAAACTCACAGCTTACGGTTTTAACATTGTTAGACCTAAGTAATGCTTTTAATACTGTCGATTTTGATATATTATTAGGAAGATTGCGTTCTCTCAACATAACTCCAGCCGTAATCGAGTGGTTTCAAAGTTACCTGAATGGGCGCCAGCAACGCATTCGTACTGAAGATAGCTCTTCATCATGGTGTCGCACGCTAGCTGGTGTACCTCAGGGTGGCGTCTTATCTCCTTTACTTTTTTCGTTATTTATTAACACCATCACTATTCAACTTCGCTCTTCCTACCACCTTTATGCAGATGATCTTCAAATTTACTCACACGCTCCATTTCATGAGTTAGACTCTGCGATATATTCAATAAACAAAGATCTGGCACACATTTCGAGCTAGTGTAAATCATTTGGATTAACTGTAAACCCTAATAAAACGCAGGCTATTATTATCGGGAGCCCCAACTATATTTCAAGAATTTGCTGGGAAAATCTGCCTAATATAATGTTCGACGGGATATCTGTGGACTATAAAGATTTTGTAAAGGATCTCGGAATATATCTTGACAGAACGCTATCCTGGAGCACCCAAATAACAGAGATTAGTAGGAGGGTCTTTGCGATTGTGGGCTCACTCAGAAGATTACGTAATTTTTTACCTATGGCCTCAGATTATACGGTGACGACACCAATCTTAGAGTTGCGCTTGCTCACTGCCCTTGTCCTTCCTGTCCTTGACTATGCTGATACCTGCTACATTGATCTCACCGAAGACCAACTATAATAAACTTGAGCGTTCCAAAACCTGTGTATTAGATTTATATTTGGACTTCGTAAATACGACCACATCTCTAATTTTCGCACTCAGCTCAAGTGGCTCCCAATACGTCGACGCCGAGATTGGCATATATTATCTCTTCTTTATTCCATTCTATTCAATCCTCTTACACCTCACTATCTTAAAGAGCGATTTATATTTCTCGGTGAAGTTCAGAGTCACGCTTCGCGTACCTCAAATAGTCTCCGTTTAAAAACCCCAGCACATACCTCCGTGTACTACACCAAATCCTTTTCCGTTCAGGCAGTGCGCCTATGGAACTCGCTGCCACCGTCTATACAGAGTGCGCAATCCTTGGCTTCGTTTAAAGGACAAGTCAAATCACATTTTCTTTCACTGTAGTTACTCTTTTCCACTCCTTTGTAATTTTTGGACTAGATTTGTCATATTTCCTTGTGTGTGCTATGTATGTATTTATATGTGTATGTTTATGTATTTTGTATGTATGTTATATGTGTATATGTATGTATATATATATATGTATGTGTATGTGTATGTATGTATGTATATATATTGTTATAGTAAGTGGTTTAATAAATTATATGTATTTGATATTTTTGTGCATTACATGTTTTTGTATTTTGTGCACGAAAATTGTTGATTCACTCTTGCGCCACCTGCCCTTTTCTATCTGTTCTCCCTTAACTAAAGGTTGTCTGTAAGAGATTGCCCTAGCGATAAGACCGCCTTTTGTACCTTTATGTGTATATTTCAATCTGTATTTATGATACTGTATTTCATTTGAATTATTCACTTGTCATTGTATATTTTTATTTATGGTGCAATAAAGAGTTAAATAAATAAATAAATAAATAAATAGTATTTCCAAATTTTATATAACAACTGATTTTCAATTGCAAAGATAGACAGACGTGAAATAAAATATCCACATACATACAGTAAGTATATGTATAACAAATAGGTATTTGTTTTGTTCACAGCTCGTTACATGTGCAGTGGCCTTAGTGTGATAATTTACTAGCGCTATTATTTGAGTGGCGACGTGACATTTATTCTAAGTATATTAAGGTGACTTGGATTAAACTATTTCGAAATTGTTGAATTATTTAATTCAATTTACAAATTTTATATACGAAAATATAATAAGTAGTATTTATGTGGTTTATGCATATATAATTACAGTTATTATATACAGTTCGTTACAATAAGATAGTAAGTAGGTAGCTGTTGTAAAGATAACTACTGATAATATTCTTGTGATTAATTCAATTTATTGCCGACGCGTATCCATTATTCTAGCTTTGTAATCGTTACTTACAATACCACTGACGAATAACTCAGTGTTAACTCAATGATTGGTATGCAGACATTCAATTAATTTTGGTACAATAAAAGGATTGCCTAAACATTCAAATTGGTTTTGTTTCTTTATAATAATAAATTTTATTGATGATTCCATTTATGGCGTAATGGTTTAGCTTATTTAGCAATATTCTAGTAGACGACTACTGGCCGAAAACGCGTTGAACACATATTTATTTAGACATCCCATGGACACGTCTTCAAAGAGGTACAACATATTTCGTTGAGGAATAATTATACAAGTACCATACAGGGTTTGTTTATTATTTACTGCAAGAGTTTAAAAGATTCTAGATGTTGAAATAAGAACGAGATGATCAATATTTGTAAAATGATTTAATAATTGTTGTAATTTTTGCACATTTATTTGCAGATTGAATTATTTTATTAATAATTTAAAATTTAAGATTTTATAGTGCATAAGTGTTATCAAAACTAATATTGAAAGAGTAAAGAGATTTGAATTCTATTTATAATGAAAAAAAAAAATACTTAACCAATATTAAAAGTTCTTTTATTTATAGAAAATTATATAATCACCGAGTATATGGTTTGTATTTTATTTAAAAAAATATGATGTATGCATGATTGAACACCAATTGACATATATATATATATATATATATATATATATATATATATATATATATATATATATATATATATATATAATGTTTCTATAAATATATATTTAGATTTTTTGATTAATCAATATTGAAAAAACGTTCATTCAACGGCTTATGATCTGAGATATTACTCGGTTTCTTATACCTAGTTTATATATGATAGATTTCCTAAGAATTACTGTGATCGGTACGTTTATAGAACTTAAATTCTTATTATTGAGTGTTACTGTTGTGATATACGAGCCAGTAAAAACTATTGTAGAATGACCTCTTCGCTTTATTATAGATACATTAAACTTACTATAATTTGACCAAAATGAGAATGTAACCTACTTTAACGCTATTCAAAATGCAATAGATTTTTTTTTGAATGCTCTTTAAGTAACGTTACTTATATTAGCTTTCCTCATTTCGCAATCAAATATCTAAGAACTGATCGTATTATCCTGAAGGTTCTTAGATTTAACATTATTTTAACTTTAACAAAATTAAAAATAGGAACAAAATTAAAGTTTTGTTTTTATAAATAAATGTAGATAATCTGAATAGTAAAAGACAACAAATTAATAAGTTGTTGAAAAAGACAAGATTTTGTTTATTAAATAACTTTATTTTCTCTTATCATCATAAGCCATAAGAAGAACTTTTCTCCAAAATTTCGTAATGTTTTTATCAATAGCTACTTATCAAGTACGATAATTGAAATAAAAAAAAAAAAATATTAAGTATAATGGAGAGATAAAATACTCTATTTTACTTTCAATATACCCATAGGTCCTTAGGGCATGATAATTCTTAATTAATTATTAACGAAGAAGAATTAAGAATTCATTCTATTATTATAAATTTATAGCGTATCGTCAAGACTACAGAGAATATTAGTAAGGGTGTGATGAGGAGAATAATTATCTACGTATATATTTAGTACTTACGTAGTATATTTAGAACTTTTTTTTCTTCATTTTATTTTATTATTCTGAAAATAATGCAGAACGAGGAATAAAGCTTCCAAGAATTCTACTGAGAGGAAATTTCGATATACAAATATAGATACGTCCAACGAAATGAAGGTAAATTGAAGGCGAATTCACACTTCGTAATTACATATTAAAAATGTGTTGCAATGTGCATCAATTTAAACTGGAGTGTTAGGTGTAATTGGTGCAATATAATGCACCAGTCAGAAGGCGTTGTGGCCTTAATTACAGGGCCTTAGTGATTTGTTGGTGAATTTATACACACAGGCTGGGCGGTTGGGTAATATTGTTCAAAAAGTTATACTTAATGTCAGACTTTGCAAAGTGAAAAAACCATAGCGAGTTTATTCAAGACAAAATTTGTATAGAAATACGGAAGATTTAGTTTTCTGAGCTAGTTAGAGAATATATACATGGCGGAATCAAAAAAGAACTGTCATTTTCTAAAAGAGCTAAGCTGGCTGAGTTAGCTTTTTGTCTTTTTATTAACCATCTGTTCGCGATTTATTTTTGATTATATGTATGGGGAAAGAACAAATTAAAATCATTTTCTAACGATTTTTACACTAGTCTGTTATCTGGTGTGTCTTAAGCAAACTTCATTATTACACAAATTATTATTATTTGTTATTTTAAATACTAATCACGAGTTGTATAAGAAATTATAACCATTTATTAATTTAAATAAAATGTGATGTACTTTGAATAAATATTTAATGTCTGATTGATTTTAAATAATGTTTTAAATTATGGTGAAAAGTAGTATTTTAATCTGAGGTAGTATTTGTTAGTGTACATGTATCAGTTGTTATTCAAATCTGTTCAGCATTTAGAATTTGATTGATTAACAAACATCGAAATATCGTTCTTAATACAAACGTTCATACTTAAAATATTAATTAGATTTTAAACTTGATAAACTAATAATACCAATTTATCATTAATCTGCAGCAGTTTCCTAGTTAAGCAATTTCCTAGTCATTAGATAAATATCCTTGTGTTGGCTTAATATATCGTGACTGTCTGTCTCGAGTCGGCAAGGCTATTGTCTTACCTTTTACTTTGGATTAAGAGCGAGCCTCAAATTACCGTCCATAAATAATCCAAGTACGAATCTTTAAGGTCTGGGAACCATCATCACAACGGCGTCCACTTTACACGGCCTCTGTTATTAACTGTTTGCAGGTGATTATTACGCATTAACACTCGGGAGCTTTGTTTTATAAATGAGTACCCATTGTAATTGTGAACAAAGTTTTATTAAACATCTATTTACAATGCCATTAAATAAAACAGAAATTCGGTAATATTACTAGCCAATTTTATTTATATTTTTACATTTATTTACATAATACAAAAATTTCTTTTAAAATTAAAATCATAAATAAAAATGTTACAATAATTCAGATCGCAATGAGTATTATTATATTTGTTATTTTAAAATACACTTTCTGGTAATCTGTATTTTGTACATTGAAATGCGGAATTGTATTTTGTACTAAATCATTGCCATGAAAATTATATACACAATTATTAAGCTTATTAATACAACACTAAAAATAAATAAATTAACTAGTTTGTAATTAAGGACGTATGTGTTACCGTCCTTTATAATTTTGATTTTATTCTGATTTAATAAAATTTTACATAAGTACATTTTAATTATTGGTAAAAAAATTGGTTTCCTATTATAACTGCTAATAAAAAAAAACTCTTAAATTATAATATAGTCAAATTTAACAGATACGTATTTAAAATATGAAAAGCAATTATACATACACAATTTAGATTTCCTTTCTTTTAATTCAGAATTATGATCTTAAAAAGCTAAGTTTAAATTAAATATAAGGTAGGTGTATGAAATAAAAGAGCATAGACAATATATAATCAACGTATAGGAATAAAATCGTTTATTAATTTTTTGGAGGAAATGGTCATGAGTCTACGGTATAGAAGTTGGTACCTAAGTATTAAAAAAGACTGTTTAAACACTTTTTTAATGTATTTTAGTATATTTCTTAAAATTTATGGTGCTTTGCACTTATGTCATATGAAATAAAACATTAGTTTTGTGTGTGTCATAAATTACTCTTGAAACACGTGAGAACGTAACGCATTAACATTAGTTAATACTAATTAGAATTTGATTTAACAAATAACAGATCAGACAATTCTGATCTATTGTTAAATTAAATTCTCTAAAAATCTATGAAATTCCTTAAATTTGATTTTTGTTAATTATATATTTTTTTTTGCATGATATATGCATGGCGGGATCAAAAGAGAACTTGTCTTTTTCTAAATTTTTCTCTGCCTGCTTACATGCTCGTTCTCTAGTTGTCTATGCCTTTATTTGTATGACTCTAGTTGCTATCTAAGTATTATATTATGTAATTAAATTTTCTCACTGTAAACGATAGAATCTTTACTTATACAGCAATAAAAATAAATAAGCAAATATATAGAGATTGGTAACTTGGGAAGTCTAACCTCCAGATGACTGCTAATTTAAACTAAATTGAACTCTAAAATCCGCTACGAGCGTCGCCGGCGCAGTTTAGCCGAAGTTCTCGAAGTGATGTATGAAGTACGGGAGCCGGCGGGTGCGGTTGACTTGCTCGCACGCGGACATTATCGATTTGGTGAGCGGACGCGGCCCGCATGAAAATACACCGATTTTTGATACCTGCATTGTTATGAGTTGTTATGTTGACATACAACATACATTTTGTATCTTATATTTATTTATCTATTAACTAGTTTTTAAACGTAACTATAGCGAGACTTTGGATCAAAGTCGTCTGTTTGATGTTTCTACCGTGAAGCAATTGTGTTTGTATGACTGTGTTTTAGTTTGAAGGCAGTGAATTTCCAGGATACAGAAGAATAACACTTGAATCCTCAAGAATGGCAACGCGTGGGAGGGTATCATGGGCGAAACAGTATACTCTGTTGTATCCATAATACTGTTCATGTGTAGTCCGCCAGCATATACCTAAAGTGCAAGGGGTTCCCATTTTATTTTCACCCCTTATCCTTTAACTATCCTAGTGACTAGAATTTGTTTTTATTGTTAACTTTTGTAATGTCTATATATATATACATATGTCACTAAATAAATTATTTTTCTTTATTTCATTATAAAAAAGACTGTAATCCTATTTTGCCTTTTTGCTAAATTGCTAATTTAAAAATAGGACAGACGAAGAAAACAGACATCAGATATAAATTATTAAAAATATACACTTTTTTTAGTAGTTACCACTACGTTACCGATTTGTGGTGTTACATATTTCAGTTTGATGGATAATATGTATATTCAATTATGAATGATGCATCGAAAATCTTTAATAACAGTAGATAAGGTAGGTATAATATGACAAGAGTATGGGTACTTACATAACTATGTTTCTTCTGCACGAATTTAAGGAAGGAGGACATGTCGGGGCGGCCGAAGTGGTTCACCGCCTTCAGACCGGTGAACATGGACGTGCGCGACAACCGCTGGAAGTGGTTCTCGCAGATGTACTGCGCCGTGCAATCACACAACAATATTATTTAACACGTTTTTTGCTAGCAAATTGAAACATTAATCTATACATATAAATAAAATTGGAGTATCTGTTTATAATATTAAAATAACCGTTGTTTACTACATGTATATAAATATATATATACGGTAGAAACACCAAAATCACATTTTTTACAATTTTTGTCTGTCTGTCTGTCTGTCTGTCTGTTTGTTCCGGCTAATCTCTGAAATGGTTAGATCGATTTTGACGGGACTTTTATTGGCAGGTAGCTGATGTAATAAGGAGTAAATTAGGCTACGTTTATTTTAGAAAAAATCTTTTATTTTAGAAAAATAAAGTAATGTTGCAATGTCCAAGTACTGTCCAACACCGCACGCAACTGCGGGCGGTGTTGGCGTCTAACTAGGCGGAACGAAGTTCGCTGGGTCAGCTAGTTCAATAATATTCTTATTAAGCTATCACTGAAGGATGGCAGTGTTTCTTTTTGAAGGGTGGAATATGGTAATGAAATTAAAGGGTACAGACGCACAACACCTTAGTCTTCAGGAATGGCAACGTATGAAATGTATCATGGACGATACAGTATACTCTGTATTATCACTGACTATGCTGAAAATAAATATATTAGAACATAAAAATAAAAGTTAAAAACAATTGAAAAAATTCAATGTTTCTGATAACTTGAAAGGTTCAAAGGCTGACATATTACAGTTATTGTAAGAGTAATTAACCATAATTAAAAATATATGTAGTTACAATAAAGAATAACAATATTCAATTATGTACATACAAGCATGGTGGTGCGCAGGTCGAACTTGTGGAAGAACTGTGTGATGAATATATGTATCTCGAGAACGTTGGTGACGTCCTTACGCTCCACGTCGCGCAACACGTCGATGAACCATTCGAAGTGTTTGTGCGACGGACAGATCCACAGGAAGTACACCTGAAATGATATGACAGATTATTTTCATACTTCTATAGCGAATTGTCATCGCGCGATTCTTTTTCTATCTAATTTACATCTACGTATTTAACATTGCGCTTTGCGCGGTTTTTGTTAGATGTATACCGTCATAAAAATTGTGCGGTGAACATAGGTAGTGTGTATCACACTACGTACATACTAGATTTATATAATTATTTAAGTGGACATTAATTATATTTTATGTTATAAACTATTTTTAAAAAAAAGATATTAGAACTGATTACAATACTAATAATATAAAGAGGAATGATTAGATTTTTTGTATGTTTGTTTATAATGCTTAAACTCAAAAACTACTTAACCGATTTCAAAAATTCTTTCTACTACAGACAGCTACATTATCAATGAGAAAAATAGACTATATATTATTTTCACAAAATTAGAGATCCGTACGAAAATTACGTATCAAAAAATTGCCCATTAAATCTACAGACATTATTAATATTAGACAATACTAATTTATCTTTATATTTATCTATTTACCCGTACGAACTGGGCCGGATCACTACTGGATAATTAAGAAAAATCAAAATTTTTATCCCTTTATTTGATGACTTTTAACACTCTACTATTGGGTATATGCTTCTCTCCATAATGTATGATATAGTTGTATTATTACCACGCTGGCTAGGCCAATATAAGAATTTCATTATACTAAATATAATTCACGACGTTTTAAATTAGACGAATTGCTCACCTTTTTGCAGGCAACACCGGAGTATCTGTTGGTAGAAGTTCCGAATACGAGATCGTTGAGTATAGAAGCATACGGCGTGACCCCTATACCGCCGCCAACCATTACTGCAACTTCGAACTTGTACCAGTCTTGATTACCGCCTCCGAACGGACCCTGTATCCTGTATGGTAATAACAAATTACATAGTTTAATATTTTTTTTTATACAACTTAGAATGGCAAACAATATCCCCTATATACATGAGCAGTACCATGGACATAACAGAGTATACTGTTTTACCCATGATACCCACCATGCGTTGCCACTCCTGAGGACTCAGGTGTTATTCCTCTGTACCCAGTAAATTCATCCCACCCTTCAAACCGAAACACAGCCATGCGAACACAACTGCTTCACGGTTGAAACACTAATTGGACAGAGGTACCCAAGCAATCGACTTTTGTACCAAGTCTCCCACTGGTAAAGTTTAATATTACGTATATGTTGTAAAGAAATAATTTAGCACTGTTGAGGGCAAAAATGAATGGGTTCACCATTTCTAATATGACATAATCTAGACGTTTTAACGGTAAAGTGAATAAGCTAGTTATAGGCCCACGAATTCTACCATCAACTTCACTATACTTTAGGTCAATAGCTTTTAATATTACAAAAATTATACTTAATTCTTATTAGTTTACCTTATTTTCGGCTGATCTTCCGGGTTGAAGTTGCATGGGTCGAAGTAATTCCGTAATTTCCAGGTCCAAGGTCCTTGTGCTTTGATGTGGCAGGAGAGGAAGTTCTCATGAGGCGCTGACGTCAGCGTGAACGAGTGGAACTCTTCTTTCCTGAACGCCGTACACGCCAGCCTCACCCATTGACCTAATATTGATATAATAATAAGTACTATACAATCACACTAATTGCTTGGTTTTAGTTATGATAGTTCGTGTTATGTGAAATTATTCTATAAATATTTATTTAAAAATTATACTGTCACGATGGGTCGACTGAGTTGCTTTTAATCTCATCTATTGTTTCTCACTTGTGTCTTACTATCGTATATTAAAATTGCAGGCGTGATTACAATTATATTATCATCCGTTAAAAAAAATAAAAACCAAAGGTCTACGAATACTTAGCTTTGTACTTACAGATCAGATTAAATTTAAAATAGTTTGTTTTTAATAACTGTTCCGACGGAAAATCGAAACAAAGACTTTTCAAGGCAACGTGCTATCATGGAGGTCGTATTATACAAATATTTATTGGATCAACAAAACTTGGCGGTAGCCTTGTGTTTTTAAACATATCCTATCTATTGGTGACAATTGATTTTTACAGTCTTACCTGATAAGTATTTAAGATTAGGTGGTCTATAGAATTTAATTTTGATCACATCTGATGGTAACATTTCCGTTTCTAATACGTCTAGGGCTAGGTATTCTGTTCGTAGAGACACAACCTGTAATAATAAAACTTAATTAGTAGGTGCTTAATTAATAATAATGAAATCTCCAATGAAAAGAACCAATAATGTGTGGTATATGATAGGTGAGGATGAAGCAGGTCAGTTAGCCCATCGTGACGAATTCAACAAGAATTGGTCACGATGATTTCCAGGGGGAACTACGTGGAGGTCGACCTAATAAGGCATATTGCTAGCAATGGGGCTGTCAAACTCCATTGCTAACAATCCCTTTCCCCCCAGTTGTACATAGTTATTATTATTTATTATATAAGTAGATCAGTATTATATTTATTTATAGTGTATGTATTTATGTAATATTTTATTATATATTTTAATATTTTATTTAACTGTATATTTGTTTGTAGCACTTCAGCTGCCTACTAACGAAATACTTTCTCACCGTATTGGGTTGACTAAAAGAGATCTCTGTCAGAGATATGCCCACCCCCCTTGCTCACAACATTTATAAATACATTATTTTATATGTAACTTACAAGTGCAATAAAGAATATATATAGTGACGGCTATGTAATAGTACCTTGTCATGGGGGGAAAGGGATTGTTAGTAATGAAGACTAAAAATCTCATTGCTAGCAATATACCCAACCAGGTCTACCTCCTCGCGGTCCCCCCTGGATTCTATCATGGTTAATTTGTGATGAATAATCACGAATTTTCATTCACATCTATCACCCTTCACTGGTGCTCCGCCAGCGTATCCCGTTAGCGCAGGCAGGGTCGCCATTCCATTTTCATGCATAAAAAAAACAGTACCTTGTCGAGCGTGAAGACGACGGCGGGCCCGAGGAAGAAGATCCAGAAGCGCGGCGCGCCGGTGAGCCGCGCGAGCCCGTGCAGCAGGCACAGCGCGTACAGCGCCACGTACAGCGAGTGCGCGCGCCAGAACCACGGGTACGCGCGCTTGCGCACGCGCGGGTGCGCGAATATGAACATCACGCACATGATCACGAACAGCAGCACGCCGCTTATACCTGCGTACGAGCGTACCCAGTACTGACTTACATACCTACTGCATTTCCACCAGACGTACACTATATAAATAGTGTTATAAGTATAAATATATATTATGAATTTATACATAAATGCGACATGATCATACTAATCGTCTGGTTCTCAAGCAAAAACACCTTCTTTTAAGAGTTATTTGACATCATATAGTTTTAGGAGAAGTTTGATGGTATATATGTATGCTATGTATGAAAGCTGTTTGCTTGGGTACCTCTGTCTCTTTTATGTTTCTGTCATGAAGCAATTTTGTTAATATGTCGATGTTTTAATGTGGGATTATGGCAATGAAATTACAGGGTGCATAGCCATAACACCTTACTTCACAGAAATGGCAACGTTATTTCTATGGTACTATTTCTGTATATAAGCGACGGTTACTACTTTCCATCAGATGAGCCTACAGCTTTTGTGATGGTCATGGTACTTCATTCATGCGTTGCCAGTCTTGAGGAATATGGTGTTATGTTTCTGTAACTCCTAATATTATTGTTATAATATAAAAATGAAATCGACAAGTCTGATTCTCACCAGTAACGGTTTGGAAGACCCAGTAAGTGATCCCTGGCCGGAAGTCAGATGTGAAGTGAACCTCCTTAGTTAGACATCGCAAATTCTCCACAGGCTGCGTGGACACATGGTAGAAGTTCACCATATGTCCAGCCGTATGTAGAAGTGAGAAGAACAATGCAGTACAGGCCACTATCTTGTGGAACTGGATACTGGAGTCTAATGGGATATATTGCTGGATACTAAATTCCTGGTAAAAAAAAATATTCAGCTATTAGGCAATGCTAGTTTTACTGTGTACTATATTATTGTCGAATTAGTAAAACAAATAATAATTAAAAAAAAATATACCCACGACTGTAATCCCTGATGGGATAAACAAAGACGTTTGTCAAGTTTTATATGTTGCTGTATCAATATTTAATTGTTCACTGCTGATTGTAGCCTCCCACATTAGGTAAGTTTTGCCAGTAGTTGCTAAGCTTAGCAGGAGGATTAGAAACCGCAGTTTGGCTTTTGGTGATGTTTTAAGATTGACACCTAAGTCAATTGTTGTCATATATTCGTAAGTCATAAGTTAATTAGGAATTACAATTGTGAGCAAATATTGTTTTTTGTTTTATGTTTCTTGAATTACCTTGAGTTTCGTCAGTAAATTTCTGGACATTGTTAACAGTAGTAGACTGTAGCAGAAGGACAGTGAAGCAGCTGATCCTCGAGTGATGGCGATACCAACACCCATTATATGCCTCAAGTCCAAATGTTCAGACATGAAGGAATAGTGAGCAAATCTTTCCACGAATAGTCCAATAGTAACCACATAGAATACGAATAAATAGAAAATGTTTTGTCTATTTTCTTCTAAGAAGGTCGTTAGGTAATCCCATTTGAGAAGACACCAATGTCTGTAATAAATCGATAATTCAATAGGTGACACCGAGATAGAATTGTGCAAGCACTACCTCCTTTAAATTTATGGCTGTCTTTAAATTTCTACGCAGATACTTCACAAACGTATAATGTATTTCAATTTTGGGTTTAAAGTCTAAACAAAATACAATCAATAATTTGACATAAGAAGTTCATCAACTCTCAGATAGTAAATTATATTTTTTCAACAGAGACCTCAAAGAAATAGTTACTCTTAAATAACAAAGTTCTGACTAGAACTAAGCGCTACATTCGTAAGCAACTCTTTTGGAGTACTCCGTACCTGGATTGCTCCATAGAAGGTTCAATGTGAAAACTTGTCATTCTCGCAACGTTTGTTGATGTATCCAAGAAGTTCTGTTTTGCGCCCTTGCAATCGAGACCAATAGCTACAAACTCTCCTTTGTATTCCTTCATCATCAGCTTAAAGTCAGAATATGTGAGGTGATCTTTATGTTGAAGGCCAGCATCCTGTAAATAATATTTCAACGTCAAGTATAAGTAATACGAAAAATGACATCGGTACATTGTTTTTTTAAATATCTAATTTGAATTTTACTTTCTAACTTATTGTATTTAATAAGTTAAGAAACGAAATAACAAATTAAATAACTAGAGTGACCGATATACTCCAGAATATTAGTATAGTAATATGACAAGGGATGAGATAATTGATGAGAAATAATAATCCTCTTAAAACAACTGTAAAGCTTAACTGTGGTTGCCAATCCGCCTGCCAAGCGCGGCAACTACTCCCAAAACTCCAGAAGGGGGAGGCTTATGTTCAGTAGTGGATAGTTAAAAGCCGATATGATGATGATGATGATGAATAATTCTTGAGTGGTAATTTATACAATAAATGGAATAGAAAAATTTGTCGTGAGATGGAGGGATGAAGTCAAAAATATTAGAGAGTGTTGTTAGATGGAGATCGATGAGAACCGTACTTGATTATAATGTTAACTCAACACATTAAATGTTCTTCGTAAAAAGAGGATGTTAGTTTACTGCCATCATTTTTACTAGGCGGTTTACTAGGTAATGTTTAAAATAAACAAACCAAGAACATTCCATCGATGAGCTCTGTGACGTGTTCGTCCCGTAGTGAGGTGGTCCGCGCGATCTCGACCAGCGAGCGCAGCATCTCACTCAACTCGCCCTTGTCAATGACCCCGTTGCGGTCATTGTCGCACATGTCAAAGATTATCCGCAACTTGTCCTCAGTCGCGCCGCGGGAGAACAACACTACGGTGTCCAGAAATTCCTGTAATTTTTTATCAATTTAGAATAGCGAACTGGATGATAGTCCAATAGATGGAAATTGGCAACCGTCGCCCTTAGAATAAAAACAGAGCAAGGGCTTTACAGACAGCGCTGTGAAGCTCTTTGTCATATCCTATTCTTAAAACAATAACATTTACTTGTCATCAAAAAATGAGTGTTAGAGATTCATGTCTTCACATGAAGTTTATCAGTAAAAAAATAAATACCTGGAATGAAATTCTGCCATCTCCATCTTTGTCCACAATATTGAACATTTTCTTGACAAACACAGCATCAGCTTTCATACCAAGAGCGCTGGCGAATTCACTCTTCGATAATGATGTTCTCATCACTATTGACTACAAAAATATGTAAAAATTTTAGTACATCTAATGTCAAATCAAAGTAAAATAAGCGCAGGGATTTCTCTGAAATTAAATATTTAAAATAATAAACTTGCTGAGACTAAAAAAAAGTTATTTACATAAAACGAACTAGAAATAAAGAAAATAAATATATTTAGTTAACAAATATTTAATTTTTTTATAAGGTGCTAATTAGTATTCGCTAATATTGCAAAGATAATAGCGAATTTATTTAACGTATATATGTAAGCTATGAAATATTAATTACCTCGGGGTCAGCATCTTCCGATCTTCGTCGTTTCTCACCAGGGGCTAATCCAAATGTGATGGCGTATGCTTCTCTGAAGAAATGTTCAAGTCTGCGTTGTCTTCGCTCTCTGGTTTCCGCTGTAGCCAATATTTGTTCTCGATGACCCTGTGAATGAATGAATTAGTATCAGCCACGTAGTTACTAGGAACATTCCAACTCAACCAACCAATCTAACGTAACTTTACGCGTAACTAATTTTATACAGGACCGAGATCTCTTGTGTTAAGTCCCATTAAATGAATCAGAATCGATAACGAGAAGGATAATGTATATATACATAAAATATTCGGGGAAATGAATAAGTTATTTCTTTTTGAAGTTGCTTTTAATTTTAACGACTTTGATTTTACTACACTTTTTAAGTGCCAACCGTGCCCGGAGTATTTTTTTTCATTCAACTTGGAATGGCAAACAATTTTTACCATCAAGCAGGCTGCGTCGCTTGATCATGACACTTCTTGCAAAATTATCGGCTTTAACATACCAGGATGAGGCAAGTAGCGATTTCTGGTGACTGTCGACCGCGAAGTAAGTAACGTTACCTGGCTAAGACTGAGCGCCTTTTTGTGCTGCGCGAGGAAGGCATCAAGCTTGACGAGGAACTTCCGTCGTGACGCCACTGAATCCATCTCAAGTACGAGATCATGCTCGCGGGCTGCGCGAATTAACACCAGAGGACGCTTGTTGCTGCGACCCTCCTACAAACAAATATATTGATATTTTATTATTAAAATGAGCACATTTCAAGACGCAACTTCAATTGTATTCAATAAAACACTTATGAAAGTCATAATGTTTCGTCAACGCAATTTAAATATTTGAATTTGAAATATTAAATCGTGTGTTTACAAGTAGCTTTTGCTTCGTAACAAGCAGTTTTTTTTTTCTTCGCAAATAAAACATTTGTTGAATTTCATCGTGAAGTTTATATAAGACAAACATATAAGTTAAGCTTATAGATTGGAAATAATATTTTGGAAATCGGTTCAAAATTGGCGTCGTAGCCATAAAGGTAAAAAAAAAACTTAGAACGGTTAAAAATCGATTCTCTTTTATTTTTAACCCTAAACAAGTAATTATAATATTATACAATTTTCATAAAAAATTATATAATATGAATATAGGAATATTTTCATTTTAGTTTTTTTTTTTCTTTAAGAAAATCCTTTTTATTAGTGAAAGAAGAGTATTTTTACTAATAATACATTAATATTACATATTGATATTATATGACATGTACGTAATGAAGGACGTAAACAAAGTCGCGGGTAAAAACTGTTACATTAATTACCTGACTTTCTAGCACTGTAAGTTGATCGGTATGATCCAAAGGCACGGTGCGTAATTTGTCTCCCTTCCTGTCTGTGACGTGGAGCGCCGGTTCAGGTCCCAGCCGTAATTTTACCAGTCGTTTATGGGAGGCGTGTACCCATTCCCGACACACCATTTTATCTACTGAGCCTAGAATTTAAATACAAGTTTTATTCAGTGGTAAGTCAATGGCAATATTTTTTTTTTAAACTAACGAACTGTTTAAACTGGTCTTTCCCAATGTGGGGCCCACGCTCCACAGGGGGCAATTTGATAGTTAAGGGGGGGGGGGCAATTAAAAAATGGACTCGAAGCGATTTTAACCCATTTGCTCCGAGCCATTTGAATGCAATGCTAGGAGTAGATATCGGCGCCAAAGTTAACAACGAAAGTAAATTAAAAAAAATGCTTTAATATTTATTAGGTATAATTTCATTTGACATTACCAAAATATCAACTGGGCAATTAAAGTCGTCAAGTAAAAATTATGTATGGGGGCATAAAAATTTTAGAAATGTTCAAGTGGGGCATGGCACAAAAAAAGTTGGGAAACACTGGTTTAAATTATACAGAATTTAGTCTTTAGAAATAGCAACCCATTAGGATTATTTACTGCAAGCACTGACTGTATTCTGCTACGTCCATGGTGTTGTTAATTTTATAGATGACAGTTACTACAGTGAATTTGTTGGACCGTCAGCTTATTTGTCATTACAAGTTACATAAAAACGGTCTATTTCTCTATACCATTTTTTTCAAATTTATTCAGCAGAATATTATTATAAACTTTCACATATAGGAGTATAACATTAAGTAGGATTATTAGTTCTAATTACTGCGTCATACCTTTGTACTGCGCATTTTTCAGATGCTCCTGTTGTATCTTAAGCCGGCGTCTGCGACTGTTCTGCAGTTTGACGACGCCGTAGGCTGCGCCCGCGCACAGAATCGGTACGAATACTAATACAAGACACGTGTATATGTAAGCGAACTCGTTCCCCTGTGATATCAGACAAAGTGGAATAAATATTTTATGCTTCAGTAAAATACGGTTTGGAAATTATATTAAAATGTTATCAGGTATTATCTGAGGGACAAGTCGAGAGTTTTCAGAATCATTGTATAAGTATGATGGTTTGCCCAGAGGAGGAATATTTTGTTGGAGGACAAAATTTCCCTTTATATCAAGAATGGTAGCATACAGTAGAGATATGGAAAAAAGTGGATGGCGAACTAGCCGGTTTTAAGTACAATGAAATACAATTTTCGGCGACTCGTCATTTTATTCTAATAATTATAATAAGCTATATAAAATTAACTGTAGCATGTCCTAAGAAATATGCCACAGAGCGAGTGAGGACTCCTGGGTGGTAGATATGCAGGCGTGCATTGTCTACTGTATGTTTTGATGTATGCGATATAGGGCGTTTCCTTAAAGGGTGGGGAAAGGTGAAATGGCAAGAGTTCCTCCCTTGCGAGGAGGGGTTCGAATTTGTGGTAACACCGCTGACATTATTTGAAGGAAGTGGAACACAGAGTAGTTTTAGCTACTAGGAGTTCGTCAATATCTATTCGTCTCTCCGAGGACGAAATTACGCAGATTTTAAAAAAGGACCTCTTTTAGTATTTACATCCTATGGTACCCAAAAATAATTGCATAGCATAGTCTAATGGTTACCTCAAAGTAATCGTATCCTTTAAGGTATTTACAAGGCGGCAGTTTAGAGGCATTCAACTGATAGGGCTGGGGACATGGGTCTCCAGCGCGCCAATGAAACACATCCCGTTGTATATCAGCCGGGCCCACTGCTGTGCTGTTCACTATTATATCCCACATGGTAATGCGACGAAGTTCTTCTATTTCCTCTCTCGTAAATATCCTGAATAAAACAATTCTAATATTACCTTCGTTCTTTGTTTGCGTGTTTCTATGTCTTTTAAGCAATGAGGATTTTTTTAATTCGCTTGTTTTAGGGTTCTATACTATAAAGGTACAAAGGAACCTTTATAGAGCGGGTTTGTCCGTCCGTCCGTCTGTCTGTCACTGTTATATATCTCAACAGGTAATGCTATTGATTAAAAATTTGGCAGAGTTTTACGTATCATTGACTTGCGTATATTGTAACGAAAATAATAGAAAATATATTTTTAATTTATTTTGCTAGGAACTCTAAACTCATAATTTCAAAATTGACCTGCTTGAAAATAAAAGATTCTCAAGTCGGTTGTATTTTTTATATTTGTTACCTTATAACTCCGTCAGTTGTAAAACAATTCGGGATTTTTTTGGCTTATAGGATTAGAAATTTTATCAAAATCAGTCCAGTAGTTTAGTTTTTAGATAAAAAAAAATTGGTTACATTCGGTCTCTTTATCGGAAACAAACTTTAATTATTTTCCAATTTGTATCAAATTTTCTTCACTGTCTGGATGGGTTACCACAAGTATATGGCATCGTAATTTAAGTACTAGATATTTTAATATCGTGATTCTAAAAATATTAAATATCATAAGTTTGGTAGTAAAGTAAGCAAAAATTGTTTCAATTATCTTACCCATTTTTATCATTTTCAAACCAAAATCTGTCGGCATCTCTTATTCTTGTAAACTGATCAGTAATGATAGCTCTGAAAAGTTCACCAGGATGGCCTGTAGATTCTAACATTCCACCTAAAATTAAAGTAATAAATTCAATAAACATTCCGATTGTATTATTTTCATGAATGTTAATATAGATGGATAGATATATAGATAGATACTCTTTATTGTTTCATACATAAGATTACATACAAACAATTACAAGAAAATATTACACTGAGAAAACAATAGGTGGCCTTATCTCTAAGTGCGATCTCTTCCAGGCAACATTTGGATGGAGAAGAGTATTCATAAACAGTGTGATTGGAAGCACGAAACTCTATTCGTTATTTTAAATACTATAAATATAAAGATATAAATTGTACGATAATGAGAGTATTAAATTTAATATTATATTGAAACTTACCAATATAAACATCAATATTGTCCAATCTTGCGTCATATGCTTGAATTAATTTTTGCAATAAGTCTGGATTATTTTCGAAGAGCTCCGGATTAATTTCATTAAAAGTTTTCACTTTAGGTAATCCAAAATATTCTCTGAAAGGAAAAAGTGGAAATTTAAAGTAATATATACTTATGAGTATGTACAAAGAAACGTCTTATGTTCCTGCCATAGTTTTTCCAGAATTGGCAATAATCACAAAAATCACTGTAGCTTGGTCAACTTATTGTAGCTCTCGCTCTCGATACAAAGTTTTGAGGACGTGCTTTCTTTATAACATTAAAAGGATTTCATATGGCTAGAATGAATACACATTGTTTAACTTTGCATTTTTATTAAATTATAAAATCTAATGATCTCATCGCCAATCAACATTAAGTGAAATTATACTAAAACTCATTAAATTTAATAAAGTCGTAAAACAAATTTGAGCTGTTCGATGAAATCGAAGCACTTTGTATTCATAATCCACCACTAAACTCGTTGTCTTATATTATTTAAAGATACCTGGCTGTGTTGTAATCCGGTAACCCATTATCTCTTCCTCTCATTATGTTCAATGCTCCGAGGTCTCGTCTTGAGAATTCCATTGGACCAAATAAGTTATCTCGGACATCTGAGCATAATAAAGCATCTTCACGTTCAGATAGTTGAGATGCCATCCCCATAAGGATTTCTTCTATAGGCACTTGGGACATCACATCCTGAAATGATATTGGTGGAGAAATATTAAAAAAAAAAATTAAAAACATCAAAACTAATTTCAAATTTCAATCAAAATTACATCTGTATGATTAATGATGATCATCAAAAGCATTAGACTTATTACACGGTTAAAGTCAAATACATAAAGGCTTAATAAAAAATCCTCTTAGTTCCGATACGGAACTTAGAGCAATAATTTTTTTTATAGCTTTATTGCTATATACTTTATATTATATTGTTTCAAAATAAAAAAAAAGATAATACGAAATATTACGTATATGCTTACATTTCCATCCCACCAAGTCTGACACAGCCTAACAGCGTCGTGTCCACCAGGAGCCCTCCCATATCTGCAGTTTCTGTCCCTCAGTAGTATCGCTGGAGGGACTAGAGTGTGACCGAAGCGGAAAGCGGCCACTGCAAACGCATGCGTGATGCCTGGTGCCACTTCAGCTTTGTAGCCGCTGTACTTTGGAATCGGCACCCCGAGGAAAGCCGGCACATACTCGTAAAGAATAACATTCTGAAATGATTAATGTCAGTTTACGTTATTTATTATTGATTTTGAAGATCTATAGGTTCTTAATTAACCTGTAAAGTTGGAACGCTTTTGATGTCTTTGTTAGAGATGATGACCAAAGTGTCTTAGGCATGGTCTTTAACATAAACAAAGTTTCGGATTTGATTCTCGATCGGGACAAATTTAGGTGTAAGCCTTAGATAATTGTAATTATATTTATAAATATAACTATAATTATGTATGGTCCTGTAGGTATCATACAAAATAACATACATTAATATTTATTTATTAAAGCTTTTGTACATACACTTTTAATATAGAAATTCGGTTATAACTAAAGTGTATACAGGCGGACTTAAAGGGATTTCTTCCAAATAACCTTGAGAAGCCGAAAGGGAAAAGTATTTATAGTGTTTGTAAATAAAGAATAACATATATAGTGTTAAAATATTATAATAAATAATATATTAGTAGCTAGATAGTCAGTAACAGAGTAAAGACAAAATTATATATATATATATATATATATATATGATATATATATATATATATTATATATATATATATATATATATATATATATATATGAATTTCAGTTATAAAAGAAATATTAATCGTACTTATTTATTAAAATATAGTTACAGGTAACTTTTATAGCTATAATAATTCTGTCATTCATATGTAGAGTATTATATTATCTGTGCTCATATCAAGCCCATTGGTATTCATATGTATGCGGTGCGGAACGTTACAAGACGTGACTAAAACGTATTATTTCCATAGAGTTAGAAAGCCGACAAAGGGTCAGAATAAAAGTACACCGAACGAGAAGGTTTATAATAGTTATTTACATTTAATTGTTGTATAAATCAGAGTTCTAGTTGTTTTATTGTTTCTGCCTACTTTAAAGGAAGATAATAGCGAGGTATAGTCTATTTCAATAGAACTTAATGAACATATAAACAAACGAATAATTGACCCAACTACATATTAATAAGACTGCTGATGTTCAATAAAATATTAATAAAAAATGAATTCACTGATCGAATCTTTCAATTTGATATAAATTTAATTTATATATATTTCTTGTCGAGGGATGAGCAGCAGCCTCTCTCTTAAAATATCACCGAAATCTAAGTACGGTTGCCAACCTGCTTGTCAAGCGTGGCAACTATTAGCATAACCTCCCAATAGATGAAGGCCTATGTTTAGCAATGGATAGCTAATGGCTGATAAGGTAAGATATGAAGATTTCCATGATAATATCTATAAAACTTCATTAACAACTATTAAAAAATACTTTAGATGTATGTAGATAATGTTGTCTCTTTATATACATTTATTATCATACAGTTGTCATAATAACAAGACATTAGCTTTATTATTATAGAAATTTACCTGTAAACTAGCTATAACGATTCGCCTGGCTCGCTGGAAGAGTTGTTCGTCGCTCCAGTCCGGGTGTTGGCGGTGCACTCGTGCGGCCACCACGTTGTGCCACCGCAGCAATAGGATGCCAAATGTCACCATCGCAGGGTTCTGGTTAGTGCGCGGATCACCAAGCACTACACACATATAATACAAGGTTTTATTTGAATGCTAAGTGTAAATTTAACATAGATTAATGTTCTACTACATTAACGTTTATTTTGGAAATTTCTATTAGCGACTCTCTTACTCTCTCTACGTTAGTGATTTCATTATGTGAACGAGATTTACTTGTTGTTATTGTACCTATTGTGTGTGTCCATTAATCCAAATTAATATTATAGCCACCTATTATTTCTTATTAAATTGGAGTAAAACGTTTTCACAAATTGTTTCAAAATATTATAGATAAAGAAGTCACAAAAATTTTTCTACAATAAATACAGTCGAATTAAGAAATTTATCCTCTCAGAAATCGGTTGAAAAGTACAGATAAGGTATAGTGTATATCTTTTTATTTGTTTAATTTTAGTTTTCACAGGATGTTTTTAAATCTAAAATAAAATAAATTGAATAGAAATAATAATATTCTATATAATAAAATGATAACTGACTTACAATACAGTCTCTCTGGGCTGAGCATGCGCATGTAATGAGGAACTGGATTATTGAAGAGCGGCACTCGCTTCGTGTTTCTCAGGGGCATACCTCCCTCACTCGCTAGGCTTCCGTTCTGTTTTATAGTATTGAATTTCAATCATATAAATACTTTTAGATTTTACTATATACTGTCATTTAAAAAAAAAAAAAACTAGACTGTTATTGATCATAATTATATTCATTATCATCATCATCTCAGGCATTATCTGTCCATTGCTGGACATTATGTGTTTTCACATTTTTGTTAATTTCTTGATTGTTTAAACTTTTTGATTCAATAAAATGTAGACCATATAGATTTGAATTTGATTACGACTATTATTAAATATTGCAGAAATAATGAAAATTTTGAATTTTGAATTTTAGTAACTTCTACAGACAGTAAAATATAGTATAATTAATATTGAAACGGTTACTGTCAAAGTTATAAATAAATAAACAAATATGTTTGTAACGATTTCTAATTAAAAATAGACAGCCTAATTAAAAATCTAATTAATATATATATATATATATATATATATATATATATATATATATATATATATATATATATATATATATATATATATATATAATTATGTTGAGTGAAATAATAGGATCATCGAACATTGAATAATGAAGAGCGAGTATAGAAAATCAACATTTCGATGCACTAGAAAGATTGTGTTGACTAATGAGTATGAATGATGCATATAATTAAGATAACGCATATGAATGTACGTAAAGAGGCAGGCGTGGCTGCTGGGTGGCACCTGAAATGACCTCATTGCATTCACCCACGCCTCACTGGTGCTGTACACGAAGCTGCCGTCGATCCATGACGTTATCTGATTTATCTGAAACAGTCAAATGGTTAGTTAGATAACAATAATAAATACTGGATCTGATCCAGTATGAAGTAGAGAGGGAGCACTGAACCATTGGCGGAAACACTTAAATACTTTTTTGTACATAGTTATAACATATAAAACATCCAAATTCTAATACAAAAAAAAAAAACTCACGAATACAAATGTTTTTATTGTAAGCCAAAAGCCGAGTCGTTGGTAAAGTGGCTTTGATGGAATGATAAAGGAGATATTGTTGTGCAAAACAATCAAAACAAATGTAAGAGTTTATATCGATGTTGTTAAATGATGGTGAATCTGTAATCATTCACTTTCAACAAAAGGTTACTTGATCTTGTTTCTTGATGAGGAGGATGTAGCAAGAATACCTTTAATAGCAGTAACAATCAATATATTTGATGACTATGCATCTGGTTAATTTATGATACTCATACAGAACAATGCACTGTTTGAAATTATCAATTGACTCTGTCAAATTTTGTTATTATGTTTTCAAAACGATTTCTTAATACAATATATATATATATATATTTATATATATATATATATATATATATATACACAATAATACTATTATTATTATTATATATTATTATATATATTATACTATTATTATTATTGCTATTGTATATTTGTATATATATATATATATATATATATATATATATATATATATATATATATATATATATATACACAATAATACGATTTTTATTTGTAAATAGAAAATATAAGTGGCCGATTTTTACTTACATACATATGTATGTAAGTAAAAATTTTTCGAAAGATACTCGTAATCCTAAAAGATGTTTATAACAAGTTCTCTTGTACTATTTCGACTCATACTAAGTCGCTAATGTAAGTAAAATACTTAAGTTAAGAATAAAACAACAAACATTTGGCAATAAAGTAACTGTAAACATAAAAGTATACTATTTAAAAACCATATTTTTTAAATTAAAAAGAATTTTAAACCTCAATATGGTTTATTTACTTTATAATTACTCAATGAACAATTACATTTTTTTCTCCAATTGTAGTAGAAATATGTGCATAGTTCACATATATTTATTTATTAGAATGTAATTGCTGTAAACCTATGTGATCATATCTGGGTTATACAGAGCTATTAAATTTTATTAGGTGGTTGGATATTGGCTGGAATTTGGCCTTCAGTGTACATGTCACGTCAGCTACTTATAGGTGGGTATGTGTGTTAATATCGCAGTGCATGACATCTAATCAGAAGCGTGTAAATATTTAAAAATTGATGACAAAACATATTTGATCAATTAAGAATTATTCACATAATTATGTAAATAAGTACACACAAGCATATTAGGTATTTATAGGTATACAGGTCGGCTATATCAACGTGTGTATATACTATGAAACACATACACAAAAATTTGGTAGGAACTTATTTGAGTATTCGAATAAGGAATATTGTCAATAAGGTTTTAAAAAGAAATATATTAAATTTTAAGTAACTGGTTTACTTTACACAACAGGTTATTAGTTTGTAATGTACGTATATAGGGGAATCTTAAATTACAAGATACAGAGTTCTTAAGAAAAGAATGAGTATAATGGTACACTTCTCTTCCTTTCCCGTGGGTATCGTAAGAGGAGAATAAGGGATCTTAATAGTCAAGGAATGTACAGCAGCATCTCACTTAAAACATCATCAAAGCCTAACTGTGATTGCCAACCTGCCCGCCAAGTGTGGCAACTACTGGCAAACCCTCCGTCCGGGAGGGGCCTATGTTCAGCAGTGCATAATTATCTGCCAATATGATGATAATAATGATGGAGCATTATCACACGAACACAACATAATATTAGTTGTATTTTATTTATTAAAAAGAAAAGGGTAAAAGTCGATCTAAATATTGTATTTGTTTTTTTCCAAGTAGTGATGTATAAGTGCAGTTCACAAACATATTATAGTCGTGAGATTCCTCAAGTTATAATTATAATTATTCTATGATAGGCGCACAATCATATTACTTACTACCTTTGAATTATTACACTTAGTTTATGAATGTCGGCAAATAAATTTGCATTATAGTATATGTAATAATGTAATGTTACAGATCATTTAATAAATGGTTAGTTAAATCAAATTTATCCTTGAATTCTTTTTTATTGTTTTTGAATAATAATATGTTGATTTCTCATTTTAATTACTAAATGCTCTAAAAATATATGTCAAAACAATTAGCGAAAAATAGCGCTGTAATCAGAATGACGACTAACAGTAGCGTGTCACGATTTAATTTGGGCCAATAGCATAAACTGACAAAGTTATGGCATTGATAAGACATTTACAGACCATAACTAATTTCCAGTAGGATAGACGTATTTCGTTTCCAAATATAAGTCTAAAGAACATGTTTAATATTTTAGGTAAATTATTTTAGCTTGCAATAAATTAGCTGTAAAATTATAATATTATATTATAATTTATATGTAATACCTATAGTATTTGATAGTATTATAGTATTTATAATTGACTTAGATAAATGTTTTAAAAGAGTTAGGTTTTAAGTACTCTAAATCGCTGGGTGTGCATTAATTTTGCATAAGATTGATGTATATGGAGGAGTTAAAAGGAGTTTATTATTTATGCAACTTTGAATAGCACACAAGCTGAAATATGATGGATAGTGGTAATCGTCGCTTATAGACATAAACAGTACCATAGACATAACTAAACTATGTCGTCCATGTTACCTTTCATGTGTTGCCATCTCTGAGGACTAAGGTGGTATGCCTCTTTACCCTGTAATTTCACTACCATACCCACCCTTCAAACTGAAACGACCATGTAACTACTTCACAATAGAAATACGAATGGGACAGAGGTACACAAACAAACGACGTTTGTACAAAGTCTCCCTCTGGTAAGGAACGTTTAAATCGGAGTATTTGGCGTAATGTATTATATGTATGTATGTATGTAATTGTTATATAGTGCTAATACTTACTTGTTCTCTTGGGCTATTTGGACTCTGTCCAGTGGATCGATCATAGGCTGCTCTCAAGAATGGCATGTATTTAGCACCCTGGCAATCTGGATCATACATGTGATCGCACTTGTCTACCGGAATGCGATGGTGTTCAATGGGACAGCCGGACTCTGACGCCATAACTATTTCACCTGTCACTACTTGTCCTGCAGGTATAAATATATAATAAGTAAATGCAGGTAAGAGTATTATTTCATAAATACCTAATCTGTACTGATTTCTTCTCAATATAACTTTTAATTAATTTACTAGTCACAGACTCGTCATATTTTTACAAGTAAATAATAATGCACTTGAAATATTTAATAATGATATTGACAATTATTATTTTATATAATCCTGTACAGCTTTAATCAGTTGTATTCTTGATATACACATATATAAAAATTACCATTAAATCTTCGGTATATATTTTTTCTAAGTACATATATTTTTTTATATAATAATAAACCACTTTACATGTATTTATAGAACGAACCATACCAAAGAATGCAAGCAAAGCAGTCCGGTTTGCAAGCGACGGTAGCCCGTCTTGCCCCCGCATGAACAGCTTCGATAACGTCCTGGCTCCAGGTCGATCTGCACCTGCTATCATGTACACTCCATCTGCGTAAGATGCTGGAGTTTTACGCGTTAGCCGACTGCCTGTGAAATAAATATGTTATTTTAATTATCTTATTAATATTATCAAAACATTGATGCTTGTATATTTGGATGTTCGTTACTCAGTTACGCTTAAACGGCTGAAAGGATTTGATTGAGACGCGAACAAAAACGCGGAAGACAGTTATTAAAAAAACATTCTAAAACAAAAAATATTTTAAAATAAATAAAAAAATATATATTTTATTAAGTTTTATATGTAGAATGTTTACAGGATAAAGATAATGCAAGTTTTGTCACTTGATCTGTAGCTCGATTCGCATAATAATCACAAAAATATTGGAACGATTCAGTTGTTAAAAACATTTTCGTGTCTTTATTTTTGATAGATGCCAGTTACCTTTAATATTGTTCCATAAAAGTATCGAGTAAATTAGAATGGTATTCATGTCGTGTTAATCATGTTTAATAAGTATTATATTCTAATAAACATAATTTAGGTGAAGAAATAAATTTTGGATAGGACTTTATTGGAATAATTTTATCATTTCGATGATATTTAAATGATTTGTATTTATGAAAATAAGGATTCTGCACCTATGTATGCCTTTTGACCCTTCGAATTGCTTATTTATATACTACTAATGGACATATACTCGTATACCTATATATAATTTTATCTGCTTGGACCAAAGGTTAAGGTATAAAGTATTTATTTTATAATTACACATTGAATCTATTAATTTTTATATTTAATAAATTACAATAGTTGTGATTATTGTAAAAAATATAATCTATTATACATACCTTACTTTTTAAATCTTTGAAATCACTGCTAACTGGTACAGTTTAAGATAGATTTTTCAATCGAAATTTATTAAGCATAAAATCTTATAAGAGGAAAAAATATTTTTACAAAGATGAACATATTTATAACTATGTACTTAAAATGATGGTAGAATTTTTTTTCAATCATTCAACTAAATGTTGATCGGTAGAATAAATACTCTGATGCAATAAAGTAGCAAGCACGTTTGTGAAGGAAAATTGGACATTAATTTGTCATAATCATGAATTTAATAAATATGTACTCAATTAGTTGGTACTATTTACACAAATTTGCGTGCTATAAATATTAAAGCAATTATTTTTCACGAGTAATGTCGTAACTCCAGTATTTGATTGACACGAAATATGTAATTTCACAGAAGTTTTACGTACACATTGCATTTTTTACGGATCGTTAATTATGTTTTATTCACTTGTACATGTTTGATGGAGGTAATTGTCATCTGGGGAGATTACGTCAAACCAGATCAAAATACATGATATATGTGCCTACCAAGTCATGCTGGACAATTTCACTGTAACTGGAGCACTCAAAGTGACAGCAAAAGAGAATGCGTATACATATATGGTAAAACGATAATATCTGTAATGTTTTTTGCTTTCTGTTCTCATGAAATTAATTAGTTCTCTGAATGATTTGTTTGTACAATATTGTGCACGTTATAATATTAAAACAAATTGCGATTGCGTGGAACAACTGAAATGTTTTTAATTAGTGGTGTGAATGATTTATTTAATTGGCTGCTGTCTAAGGTATGCTAAATATGTGTGTACATATGTGTGCTATGGTAAATTTTTCATTAAAAATCTAAATATTTTTCATGAATTTAATTTCTCATCTATACTTATAATAAATCTGTAGAGAGGTCAATTCTGTACATGAAATATATTTCCAAAATAACAATCAGGGGGTGATTAGTGATCGATACTGATGCCAAAAATGTAATCAGTAAAATTTTGTCTGTTTGTCTGTTCGTTATAGAAACAAAAACTACTCGACGGATTTTAATGAAACTTGGTACAATTATTCTATATACACCTGGGCAGGTTAGAGTATACTTTTCATCACGCTATGATCAATAGGAGCAGAGCAGTGAAGGGAAATGTTGGGAAAACGGGAGAAGTTACTCCATTTTTAAGTTTTCATCGCGTGTGTAGCCTTAATGGCCACTTTTTAAAATGTAAAAATGTCCACCCGCTAGTATTAGAATAATTGTCATGAATCCAGTTATGATATGGTAAATTTAATTTACATTCATGTATTATAAGATTCAAAATAGCAACTTCGATGTTTTGTATTTTTTATATTATTGTAAATAAAATATTTAACTTTATTTATATATATCATAATATTACAAAAAATATGAAATATATATTTATATTAGATGTTACCATAAGATTACAGTCTAAAGAACTGGGACAGTAATACGATGCAGCAGTATTTTAAATGATAGTTTAATTTTTTTACATTATTTTTATAATATTTTATATACAAGCACAATACCACGGTCTTAACGAACTTGATATAAATATTGATATTATTCGATGTAAATTAAATAATTCGAAACTATTTATCACACTTCACGTGCCTTTAAAATTACATTTTCAATATTTTAATAGTCACAATTCGTGCTATGATTGATTCGTAGCAATAGTCTGACGATAATTTAAGGTGCTCGTGATACTGTGATGGTGCAATCTTCACTTCATATAATAATATACATCATGAATAACAAATTAGGAACAAGGAGAAACGACCACAGGTACAGCCATCGGCAATTTCGTTACATGCCTCAGTTATCGTTACTGTGATATTCGACCATTTATCGATCCCAATAATAATATCAATGTTAAGGGTATATCGCAAGATTGGCAATAGACAGTTAATACATTAAGGTAATTTATAACGAAATAAAAGATTACTCATGCAATAAGCTGCCTAATAAACTAACAATAAATTCATGGAACTCGATGGCCGCTTTCGAACACACTGTGTGTAACCATTGTTATTCTTGAGAATTAAAATAAAGAAGACTCAAGTAAACTCAAAAAAAAAAAATATTACACTGCTGGACTACTATTTTTAAAACAGAATAAAGTTATGAATGGATAGAGGTGTGATTGCTTGACTGTGAATACTGATGACTTCGGTTTGAACGTTTTTAATAATGTGTTCATGAAATAATGTGTTCTAATTAAATTGTTGTGATACTTTGATAAGTCATATACACAGCGATTATGTTTCAATGAAAAAAAGTGCTCTCTATCCAATTTATTTCGTTTCAAAAATGCAATTTTTGTAATATAGCTATAATTGATTGATAATAACCAACAGAGCTATATTACTGATTGGCGACTATTTTTGCTTTCAATACAAAATTCATAATGTCATTCAATTAGAGATAAGCACTGTGACACCAAAAACATAGTTTATCGGTTATTAAAACATGGTAAAACTCATGATATTAAACTGTATAAACAATTCTCCATTGTAATTTAAAACTTTTAAACTTCTTGTATTTTATAGATCTATATGTTGTTCATATATAAATGTATTATAAAGTAACTTAACCAACTTTTTAATTTATATAGATGTGAAAGGAGATATACCACTTGTCACTACAGCGTAGTGATGAAATGAAAATACCACTACCCAATGGGTGAGTTGTAGTCTGGGCAGATACACTTATTAGATTACAGGCGTAGACCTTACTTAACAACTAATCGGTTGCACAACAGTCTATGACAAATTAATAAGGCCTTTATCTAGCCTAGTCATCTTGTGTCTGATTCATGATCAGCTGTTTGACGCAACAATTTACTACTGAAGGTGCTACCATTGCAAGATTCATTTTAATCGTCGAGACTATAAGACGGAAAATAGTAATATTATTTATTAATTATTACAGAAAATCCATCTTCATTGTCATTATATCAGCCTTTAACTGTCCACTGCTGAATATACGCCTCCGCTTTAGGAGGTTTTATCAATAGTTGTCACGCTTGGCAAGAGGATTGGTAACCGTAGTTAAGCTTTGGAGATGCTTTAAGAGGGACACTGCTGCCCTGGATGGATAATCATATTTATGTTCAATTTATTATTAAAAAAAATGTAGTACAATTTCATCAAGAATTGTACTACGCGTTGAAGTCTTTTACTATAGAGCTTTTGTTATGTAAAAGAATAGGTTGAAAATTTTCTTTTCTTTTCAAATTAATATGGTATTTACAAACAGATTATATTGAAATAATTCCTAATGAAGTGTATAATGTCTATTCTATTGAGCTCCTCTATAAATATATAAAATAACACATGTTCAGTAAAACTATGTAAAGTTATAAACATATAAGTATATACCGCTATATAAAAATGTATATATTTCTATAAAAATAAAATTAAAGTAAAATCACGTATAATAGGTATACCCTACATTATAAAAATAGAAATAATGACTTTATATTGCATCAGTATTTATATTTTAATTATCGCAATTTTTGCGATGAAAATGTAGGTTAATACGTCTATACATAATAAAGAAATCTTATCTGTTGATAAACTTGATATGGTCAATCTGTCACCATTTCATCACCATCATAAACCTCTACCTTTCTCTGCAATCATAATACTCATAAATAGGTACAGTTACAAACTTAAGGTCACAGCATTCTATTGGTCCTTAATATTTATTTATAAGTATATAGTTTCAATTAGAGTTTGTTTAGATAAATCTATAATGGTGATTATAATCCCAGATATATCACACAGTGTCTAGTCTTAAGCTTAACAATTGTATCATGAGCACTGGATAGCTGATAGACTTATTAATCGACATTTTTAGTAAATATATATTTGTACATATATCATTTGAAATCGAATGCTTATGGAATAAATTATTTGCTAAAAAAAAGAGTATAGTTCTTTAAAAACGACGTATTAAGATTTCTCTACATAGATAGTGTTGTAAGTATCCATAGGTTCTAGAAAGTATTTATAATTAGATGGGCTATATGTTTTTTTGTAACTTTTGTACTATGAAAACTGAAATACTTATAAATACATATATTTTTATTGTATAGACATCAAACCCGCAGGCATTGAAAGTTGAAGCGGTGATTTAAACCGATGTAATTCCAAGGCCAACACACGAAACAAAGAGAACACCTACCCTTGATCTAATTCAGTATGTATTTTTTTTAAATATTCAAAAATATTAAAATACATAACACATAAGAATCTACGAAGTATGTGTAAATATTTAATGAGTATTGATATTCGTTATCTCTTTATATATAATAGACTTTCACAGCTAATTTTTAATAATATATGTATTTATGTCGTTAAAATATACAGTTATAATATCATATAGATAAGTCTCGAAGAGTTATATTTAAGAAATTATATGTTTTGTTAATATATTTTTTACTATTTAATGTATAGAAAGATAAAATAATAATAATGATAGACAGCTATTAGGTACGGATCTTCTCATAATTCATAAAGTCTTGTGTAGTGAAGGAGTACCTAAAAACAACGTATTACCATCCTATCATACCCAAGATTTACAAGTAAGCGATTATTAAGGGAATAGAGTACAAAACATAAATGTAAATAAAGAGAAATTCGAAATAAAATTTATATAAAAATTTGTTTATTACCAATATGGTAATATTTAACTGAAATTTCCTTTAATGCTTATAAGCTTAAAATAAGGATATAGCTTACTATTATAATTACGATAGTACTCGTAATAGTTTTCTCAAAAGCAAATATAATTACACTCTGATCTTTACATAATTTTTAATGATTAAAATTCACTTAATACAAATGTTTCACATTTGAATAAAAATTCTTTGCACAAAATATTCAAATATATTCATGATTATTCCTGACAAACATTGAAATTATTATTTTAATGATCACATAAATCGACTTCTTTATCTAACTTATTCAGTATGCTGATAGTCCATGAGAAAATTTGTTGGTGTATTGCTTAGAATTCGTAATTTCACTTTACTTTAATATATATGTATATTTTTTTAGAATGGAACAACAGTTGACGGACTATCCCTCTTGAAATTGAATTGTTACGACCAACTTAACGATATCTTTTTTATTAAAATTGATAAATTAATAGAAAAGCATAAAATACTAATTGCTTTATTTGTGTTTGTAATCAGTGTCATTGCAAAAGGTTCTATAAAAAAATATAATTATCTACAGTAGGTACTAAAGCAAGGCTATATCGATAAATCAAACATCAGAATCAAATATGACTTGATTGAAGCTAGTTAAAACAATGACAGCTGACAAATAGATTTAAACACAGTTCAGTATTTATTGAGTATATAAGTATTTATGAGACTGTAAGCTGCAGTAACATATTTGAGGTTAATTATTTCTTTTGTGTAAAACGTACCACACATTTTTTGAGTGTCAGTACTATATATTGAATACTATATATAATTTGGAGATTTGCTCGCATGAATTAAGATAAAAAGTTAAACTATCCATGTTATTATTATCTCTAGCCGTTTAAGAATAACTAAGTAAAAAGAGTTAAATAGCTTCAAATATTTAACGTATATAAAACATATTAGCAGAATTAGATAAATTAACTTACCAACTGACCCCCAATCTGGATATGCTCTGTTGTTGAACCAGCCATCATAGCGTTGTTTCTCATAGTATAATTCTGTAATAAAAAATATGATCATATAATGTAATTAGACTTTTGATTACTTTTTCTAATACATAAAGCTGAAATAAAATATTGAGTCAAGTTCAAAAAGAAAAAGGTACTTGTAATTAATTTTCTTTACTTAAATTAATTCCTAACATGTATTTGTTGTGAAGATGTCGCATTAGATACATCTTCAGGAATTAAGTACTATCTGATGCAGGTTAAAAAAACTAAAGCTAATTAAAGTGTCATGGTCTTATAATTTATTTTAAAATTAGGAATCATATTATATATCCTTCCGTTACAAAGAATAAATATATGAATAAAAAAATGCATTCAATTTTATTGGTTACATACCGTATATTGAAATCTTTAAGTCTAATATCAATCACATTGCGTTTACGTAAACAAGTAATTTTCACCTGTGATGTTTCTGTACAATATAGATTTAAAATTTTACGACAAACGAAAGATAATGTTTATTGAAAAGTATTTGTGAATAAGTCAACTTGGCTTATATATATTTATATAGTTTTGTAGATGCTACCAATGTTTCATATTCAAGTGGTCATCTTATTTCAATGAACGTTGCGACGGACCACCGCATCGTTAATTGCTTATTTAAAGCACGCCAGTGTAATTAACCCTTGTTTACGTGTTTGCCACTAAGACGCTATGTGGACGCATGTTTGTGCGCGTTCCAGATACGCGTACGTTCCGATACAGACCTTGCTCGGTCCGCTCTAACCGAGATGCATCGCTAATGAGACCCTCATTACTTGTACACACTCCAAGAATTGTATCAGAAATAATACGAGTAAAACAGTAAATCGTTCAGGGTTATACATTCTTGTAATTATTCTAGGTAGGTTGGTAAGTTGACAAATATTGTTAACAAGTAACTTTATCACTTTGTACAAGAGTTGTTTGCTTGGGAACCTATGTCCTACTTGTATTTCTACTTGAAATAGTTGTGTTTGTATGGCTGTATTTAGGTTTTGAAGGGTGGGATATGGCAGTGAATTTATATGGTATAGAGAAATAACACCTGAGTCCTCAGAAATGGCAATGCATGGGAGGTATCATGGGCGTAACAGTATACTCTGTTATGTCCATGGTACTGCTCGGGAGCTGTACGCTCTGCTGATGGTTACCACTTTCCATCAGGTGGGTTGCCAGCTTGTTTGCCATTCTAAGTTGCATAAAAAAAAATCTACAATACAAGGATTTTTTTATAATACTTAAAATGACCAAAATAACCGACATAGCCCGAAGGATAAGCTAGTTAAAGTGGCAATGGGCTGGTCACATAGCTCGAAGAACCGGCAACCGAAGGGGAAGAAAGGTTCTTGAGTGGCAACTGCGTACGGGTAAACTTAGTGTAGGACGAACCCCCACTAGATGGACTGACGACCATAAATGCGTTGCAGGAAGTCAGTTGATGCAGGTGGCTCAGGACCGTTATGGCAGTCTATGGGGGAGGCTTATGTTCAGCAGTGGACAGATAATGGCTAAAATGATGATGATGATGACTTAAAATGACAAAGTGACGGCCTACCTGATGAAAAGCGGTACTCGTCGCATATAGATATGAAGGATTGTGATTACTCATAGTTTTTTAGCTATATTTAGGGTAAATATAAAATTAAAAAAATATTATATAAAACAGATTTTTAACATTTTTAAATGTTAGCTACTAAACTCTAATAAGATAATTGTTTCAAGAAACGGTAATAGCAAGCAAACACTTGAATGAACCGAGCTTAGAACGTCAAAACTAAAACCGAAAATTACTATCCTAGAACTAGATGTTCTTAAACTTTAAACCACAATTTACCATTTTTCCCAATTACCATTTACCAATTCGCATTACCAATAACGCTGTCTAGGGTGAATGGTATAGGTAAAGTAAGGTTTTCTAATTCGTGCGAGACCAACATGAATTAATATTGTAAAAAAAAAACAGAATTTTATTACGTTGAACATATTTTTAAAACTAACGCATTTACGGTGTTATCAGTAATATCTTTAATAGGTAATAAATAAGATAAGCATTATAACTTACAAGAACGCTGATGTTATTTTCAGCATTCAGTTTAATAAAATAAAAATGTTTAAGTGCTTTTAAATATTAGTTACCTAATACATATATCAATAACTTGCGTAGATGTTTAATGTAATAAATAAAAATGCATAACACGCGTACTGTTACTTTGTAATATAAGTAACAAACAGTCTTAAAATATCAGTTTCATTATTAGGCATTGGGTACAGTTGTCAAGTAGATATGACATAAATCTAATAATGTGCATAAAATTGTCATAAATTTCGATTTATATATAAATTATACAATATTTAGCTCAAGCACCAATACACGTTAATTTATTTAGACCTTTGTATTGTATATTACAAAAAAAGGTAAAAGAACATAATTTAAGAAAAAGTTATGGTTTAAAATTTTTAATTTAAAACGTGAGTAGAATCAAAAAAAATTAAATTTTTGTTTCTATTCATTATATATACGTATTAAGTACAATATATTTACTATAGTAAAGTAGGTAATAATTTGCCATATCGCAGAATCAAAGGTGTTTAACATTTAAATCCGGTCTTCGTAGCTATTAATGAGGATCTTGTATGATTACTTATACTATACTTATACTACTTATACTTATATTACACTCGCGAATTAGTAATTGGTGTCTATAGAATTGAATATTCAATTTACCTTTTATTGGTGTGGAAGTCTGGTATCGAAAATAATTATTTTAATATGTTATCAGAACATTCTGTCCTTTTTAGAACAATAAACCTTTACTAATATCACAGTGCAAGGAGTCTCAGTTTTATGTACTATGCTTATATGTATTATAAATTTGAACGTGAATTTATTTATTTGTTTCTTTTTAATGGAGAAGGACATAGGCTACTTTCTATCCCAGTCAATCAATGTAGCCTGGTCATGCAGATGAAGTAATAGGTACATAATAGTAGTTTACATAAATAAATTTAATTATTTTTTATGCAACGTGGGATAGCAATCAAAGGAAAGTGGAAAATGTCATTATTGATATTTTAGTTTGTTGCATACATTAAAAAATATGTTATAGTGTTTAATCCTTGACTAGTTTTTTGGCCACTACTTTATATGCATAGATTTCAGAAGCAGATATTTATTATATATAATATTAAAATCGTTGAAATAAACATTTATTAGAATTTAAATTAGACTTATATTATTACAACTGTAAAACTGCATCCGATTTGATGTAGTAGTTTTTGCAAGATATCAGAACAGACATACAGACAGACATTTCAAATAATTATTATTTAGGCGTTTGCTTAAATATCTCTCATGTACATACATTGTCTAGTTACAGTTTTATTATATTAGTATGATATTAAGGTCTCTTTTTTATTGTAATGGGAAGTCAACTAAGTCGAGTCTAAAATAAGAGTGTTATACATTGTACTGGCTATCTGACCTACTCTTCAGTCTTGAACAATAATATGCATTATTGCCAGAAACTATTTTATTTTATTACTGCAAAAATACATAAGTGGTTTATGTTACAGTTTTACGACTGTAAAGACGAAAAAATATGACAGTTATACCTGACAACCTTGGTAATGTAGCGATTAGACATACTCCTTCACCTTCTGTTGGTTGCGGCTTCGATACTCACACAATACATATGTATTTATTATTATGTTTGTTTGTATTGATAGGAGAGCGAGAATGCATATATTTAGAGAAGTACTGGTTCTGCTTACTTTAGGTCTAGATGGTAAAGTGTATATTCATGACTTTTTATTAGTGACTTAGGCGAGTTGCATAAAATATAATTCCTGTAAAATTTGTCGTTACATAATGAAGACTGTGTTCCACAAATAAAAACCGACTTCAATTGTGGCAAAATCAGTCATTTTATTTAAAAAAAGAACAACTACTAAATCAATTTTGATAAAATTTCTACGAGACCCATTTGTAAGTATATTTTTTCAGATAAAAAATCCAACTCTGGTTATAACTGAGGGAGTTATGGGGTACCAAACATAAAAAAAGAATGCAACCGGATTGAGAACCTCCTTCTTTTTTAATGTCGGTTAAAAATGAAAATCAAGTCTTTACGTACCTACTAATAACAATGTTACTTTATACGTACATTGTTTAAGTTGAGCATGTGCAACCGTTTATCTATTTACTGTTTTTTATCATATAGTTGGATACTTACTAAAACGGATATAGCACGCCTGCACTTAAGACACCTGCTGGGTACGTGCATTCCTACTGCATGTTTGCTTTATTTGTAACTAATTTTGCAGCAATCTCTTAAACATATTTGCAGAATACCTCTTTTATAAAAGGTATTATTATATTGCAATGGGCGTACAATACATTTTTTAAATAAATAGTGTAAGAAATACAAGTATCATTTATAAAAGTAATATTTATGGGAGAAGTCATATTAACTAGTTAGCTGTTAACAGCGGTTACTACGTGAAGTTCGAGACATTTTAATGTCGATCAGATACTTTATTACCTCAGATTATACTCATTACATACATTAAAATTATATGTAGGAAACCAAGCGTATATGGAAGCGGTTCATTCTATTAGACTTTAGTACTCCCACTACTCTAATAAATTTCTTTCCTAATTAAATATTGGTATAATGTAAAACAATTCAATAATCCGAGTATATATTACCTCTTTAAAAATAATTTTAATTAATAAAACAAGTGTTTAAACATGGGAATCCAAATTACAAAATGGAGCGAGCGAATTGAAATTAAATTAAACATTCCCGCCTTTTGTGTTGTTTTGTTTTTTAATTTGAATTTTGAATAATTCAATATAATTTGAATTGCTATGTGCCAGTAGCTAACAATTTTACAATTTTTAATTGTGTTGAAACTTTTTAATTTACGCAGAATCAAGTGAAATGCTCATAATAAACCTAAACTGATTATTGCGTTCTATATATTGGAAAATTTATATTAATACACAA